TATCATACAATATTTTGTAAAGAAAATTTCTGAATTGAATGCAAACTCAATGGATTTTTTTAATGGGGTGTAAAGTCTGAAATCACCCAAAATGTGAGGTGCAAAATCCAACTCTCCCATGATTTTTTACCTCTTTAAATGATTTGTGTGTGTGTGCGTGCACTGGCACAATAACATATGTATACAAAAGTGTACAAAAATCATGTACAACTGTTTTATTTTCTAAAAACAATAATATTCATATTCAATCGGGTATGATTTTTCCACTTTCTCTTGCTTTGTTTGATCTTATATGATTATTTATTCGAATCATACTTGACTAGATATTATTATATATAATCGGGTGTGCCACCAAATTACAGTTTTTGCACGAGGTCTTCCTCCTTCACCTTTCCTTGATCTTGTAAAATCCTTTGTTGCAGACTAACTTATTCAGACTCATGATCCTCTAAAACTAACAAATTACAATAAACTACTCTTTCATCCCTTATAACTTTGTCAACTTTTCATTTATGGTTATCCCGCTAACTTTGCTACTTCTCCTTTTAATTAAAGAATTTGTGATTACAGTTAATTCTCTCTCATCTGCACAAATCTCAATCACACAATTTTGCTTTATTAATTCTCGTGTCGATCAAAGTTGACAAAGTTGTAAAGGACGGAAGGAGTATGAAAATAAATAGTTGCACCATAAATGTGCAATTACTACCGTAAAAACCAATTAAAAGGTAAAACCCAAACACGGAAAAACTAACAAAATCATTACATGGTCATGGTCACTAGGTAGCACTCATATTATTAGTATATATACAAACATTTAGGTATTTGTGATATAATAATAATTGTAATGTAATACTATGTAATGTAATGGTATTGATAAAGCTTATAATAATGATAATCATAATTATAAAAATAACATAATGATACGGATAATTATTGTTATAATTATAATTGTAATGATTATGATCAATACTAATACTACAACCGCTAATAATAGCAACAACAACAACTATAACAATAAGAACAACAATAAATACTCAATCGGATCAAATTAGAAAGGTTCAGATTAGATCAGAAAGATTTATATCAAATCAGATCATATAAAAAAGACCAATGACACGTTTACTTCACGGGTTACTAAACGGCGCTTATTAAGACTCGGGTTAATAAGCAGCACATAAAATAAGCAGTGTTGTAAGCTCATGTTTATTTCAAAAGATTTGAATCACCGTTTAACATTAAAATGTCCAAAATAACTTTATACATATATAGAGACACACAAACAGTCATGAACACATTTATATAATATAATATGTTGGGTCACCTCGTACATGTACACATACCCCTAACCCCTACCCCCGCCCTAACCACCTACCATATACCCCGCCGTACCCCACCCCTACATCCTACCCCCAATTCCACACCTTTGACCCCTACCCTTACCCTTTACCCCTACTCCCCTACAACCCATACCCCTAACACCTACCCTACTCGTAGGGGTAGGGGTCGGGTTGAGGTAAAGGCAGGTGGTATGGGGTAAAGGGGGTAGGGTAAATAGGCGGGGGTATGGTCGGGGGTAGGGTGGTAAGGGATAGGGAGGGCGGGGTTTCGGGGGATGGGGTAGGGTGGGGTCGAGGTAGGGGCAGGTGGTAGGGGATAAAGGGGTAGGGAAGGGGGTTATGGGTGGGGGTGGGTGCGGTGGGGTATGGTCAGGGTAGGGGTTGGGGTTGGGGTTGGGTTCGGGGTTGAGGTAAGGGCAGGTGGTATGGGGTAAAGGGGTAGGGTGAGTAAGGGGTTGGGGTGAGGGTGGGTAAAGGGTATGATCGGGGGAGGGTGGTAAGGGATATGGGAGTTTGGGGGTAGGGGTGGGATCGAGGTAGGGGCAGGTGGTAAGAGGGACCGAATTCCAGATTAATAATGCTGCCTTACGCTGCCCAAATTTCATCAGCTCTCGTAGATATAGCTCTCGTAGTTGGATTAAATTCTATCATTTGGTTCTCTCATTGAGAGAACGATCTATGGTTATAATGGTTGGATCACGCAGTCACAACCGTGTGGGTAGCAATCAAGGTGGTGCACGTTTTGAGCATGTCGTGATTGAAGACGGAGGGTCTAGGTCAAGGCGGAGCGAATTCCGGAAACGGAACGATAACATAGCGGCTCAAGGTGACTTGAGAAACCAATTGCAAGCTGTTCGGCGTTCCAGACGTCCGACAACGAGTCCACCACAATTCCAGGCGTCGGGCACAGGGAACCTCATCCCCAACGTTGATCCTGCGCAAGCTTTGGCAAGTTTGGCAACATCCTAGAGGGTTGTGGAGACCTTGACCACCGCTTTTCAAGGTATTGTCCCTAACCCTTACGGAAGACCTCCTTCCCCGCGTCGGGCTCCATCAGTGCCCCAACAGGAGGAGGAAATCTCTGCGCAACGTCAAAGGAATTCACCACCTGTAAGGTCTCAGCGATCTCATCACTCTAGGCAAACCCCGAGGGCTTCGGTGATGGATCGAATGGGCAGACGGAGGGTCTCCGTGCACGATAGGCTCTTCTACAGGGTGGAACGAAGTGAGGAGGCATCCTCTGCGGCTGTCTCCTCCTACCGTCACAGCATGCGTGGGGGAGATCTCTGAGATGAGATCAATGCAAATCGGCGGACCCGCAATGATCGTCCTTCTCCACCCCATGCCCGAACATGCCATGATAAGGATGACCTCAGAAGGAGACTTGAAGAGCTCAGGAGGGAGGTGGATGGTAGGCTTAACCTCAACCATGATGTGAGGATTCCCGATCCGTTCATCTGCCAATTATGGATGCTTCGCTGCCGCAAGGGTACATGCATTGCAATAATGAGGTCTATCGAGAAAAAATTGATCCCCAACACCATGTTTCCAGGTATGTAGCCTACATGGTGATGATGGGATACGATGATGCCATCAAGTGCAAAGGATTCTCGGTGAGCTCGGACGGGTCAGCCTGAGAATGGAATGATTCCTTGCCTGACGAAGGAATTTGGAATTTCCGAAAGTTTGCCCGGGCATTTTTCAGCTCTAAAGACTCCAAGAAGAATTTCTCTCACCTCCTGGGAGTTAGGTAGGGACGCCAGGAGAGCTTAGCCTCCTTCCTAGCTCGTTGGAGGGATGAATCGGTGAAGGTGGACGGCCTGGATGACAGATCTGTCGTCGCCATACTCACCAATGCACTGAGGTTGGGTGAGCTGTATAAAGAATTCATACGGCGCCCCCCGATCTCACACGAGAAAGCCTTGTAGCGAGCCGATGCACAAGCTGAGGTGGAAGAGGCTTAGAAGCGGAAGAGAGAAGAGGAGGAAGGAAAGCACCAACTTGAAGACGGGAAGAAAAAGAGTTCAAAAAAGGAAGCCCGTGACCAAGACAAAGGGAATGGATCCAAAAAGAAGAAGAAAGGTTGGGGAAAGAACAAATCGGGTGTACCCGATGGACCTCTATCCAGTCAATCAGAGTTTTTACCTTTAACACATCCAGTGAGCACTGTCCTGGATTATGCGGCCAAGCAAGGTTTGATAACGTTCCTATGAAGGGACCGAATTCGGGATTAATAATACTGCCTTACGCCGTCCGAATTTCATCTGCTCTCGTAGATATAGATCTCGTAGTTGGATTAAACTCCATCACATGTCATAATAATTTTTAGGGTTCGTTTATTCAAGAAATGCAAATTACCAAGGGGATATTTGATTGATGAGAATGTGATTAACTTATTCTCATTTGTGTTTGGTTAAAATTAAGAGGATATGACATTAATTTATTTGGTTGAAAAAAATCTTATATTGCAGATCTGATGAATTATTTCAAAGCCACTTAAATATATTCTCTTAACACAATAAATCTATTATAACCTATATTTAAAGTAATTGAAACTAAAGAAAAAATGAAATACCTTAATAAAAAACAAAACCAAACTGAAATTATTTTTAAGTAAAGTATGTTTAATTGTAAAAAGTTGTAGATCCAATACATAAATGAAAAAAAACTTTGTTCAAATAGTAATATAAATATACATGTATTATCATTTATAAAAATCAATTTAAAAAATGTTCAAATTATTTGCAAACTTGTTTTCAAATTAAAGAAAAAATGCCCATTTTCTCATTGGATTTTGAAATTCATTCATCAAAAACTTAAATAATTGATACGTCTTATAACATAATTGCTTTAAAAAACATGTCAAGGGAAGAAGAATTGTGCAAATAACAAGAATAGACATGCAAATATAATTAAATAAACATATTTTATTCGTCCCACTTAAGATATTGTCACACAACTTAGGTTATTTGACTAACCATAGAATTAACGGATCTTTGTCAATAATAAGATTATTTTTAATAAATAAAAAATTACACATTGAGAAACTACATTACAAGTTTTATAAAGTTATAATAAACTAAATTCGATAAAAGTTGAACATATAAAATAAAAGATCTTAGTTGACATAGAATAGTGTTCATGAACCTTTAAATGGAATGGATGTCGTAATTGGGAGGAAGTAATTGAGAGGTGAACGTAACCTTCGTAGTATACCTGACAAATCGGGAGGTGTAACCGCAATAGCACCAGTTTTAGTTCATATTTAGTTATAACCCTCCGAACTAAACATGGATATGGCCAATTTTTTATCAATTTTATTCCCTCCGTCTCATAAAACTTGATCAATTTTTTTATCGTCTCAAAAAAAATTTGTTATTTCTATTTAAAATAAGGAATATATGATCTAAAGTTATTTCTTTTTCTTCTAACTTCAACCATACTAATTTCACTTTATTAGTGTATGTGCAAGTAAACTTTGACCAGAGACTCATGTAACATTCATCTACTTTTGGGCCTGTTTGTACTTCAGCGCGTTGGGGGGCAAAACGCTCCATTTAGCAACGTTTCTTGTTGGGAAAAATGGCTTTTGTCTGTTCCATTATAGATAGACGAGTAGTACGGAAAATTCTAAATTATGTTCGAAACAAAGTTTTTAATCTGGGATCGACATTTAATCTTGGACCAATTCACTAGTAAAAGTAGTATCAGCCATCAGTATTCAAACTGGAAAAAAGAATAATCACAAAATGCACAATGATCTTGCTCATATAAAGTCAGTCACCCCGCAAATACTCTGATCTATAGTGAAAAAATATGTCATAGTAAGAACCCATAATTTTGAAAACGGATTCTAAAAGCAATATAGCAACGGAAAATTGGAAAGCATCCCTAGTCATCATTGCTACATGATAATAACAATAATTATTATTATAATAAACCAGCCAGACATGAACATCAGAACCTAATCCGGGCAATAATCAGTAGGAGTTCATTTATATAATCTGGATCAAGCGAAGAGAGGGGTATGATTAGCAAAGTTGGCAGCTGAAGCTGGAGGAGGAGGAGGGAGCCTGTTCTTCCCGCTGCCATTTTTTCTTGATGAGCTGAGGGATGAACAGAACCCTCCTCCTCCTGCTCTTGTTGAAGATTTCTTCAAGATCCCTCCATTACAACTGCTTCTCTTACAGCCTTCCAGAAACAATCCCGCGTAGCTCCTGCATCCTTTGAGCCTCTTGTTGTATGGGTTCTCCGGCTTTGCCAGATCCTCCACGCTCCTCACGTTTGTCAATGATGTGAACGATTGTGACTTCCCATTGTAATGCTTTGACAACCCTTTTCTGCCATCCCCAAATCCCACTTGAATTGGTTAACATCCATTTCCAAATCAAATTTTCAAATATATACAAGCTAGGGGTTATTATGCTTACTTGAAAGGAAGATCCTGAAGAAGGGCTGACATAGTTTGCAAGGGTTCGTCACATGATGGGGACACGTGCTCTTCTTCTTCTTCTTCTGAGGAAAAAAAGTCACCACCACAGAAATCAGAAGAAGAAGATGATGACGGAGAAATTGAGGGATTCTGAACAGGGTTATTCTCGTCCCCGTCCATGGCTATTATAATTGACCCCCAAATTTGCTTTGTTACTCGATTTCACCGAAGATCCAAAGTGCAGCAGTCTTTAAACAAGTCCTTGGGTTTTCTTGTTCATCAAGAATGTCAAAGAACAATTGTTCTGGATAGAAAAAAGGTATGGTCTCAATGAATAGATATAAATTAGGATAAGATCAAAGGCTGATGTGTGTATATATATACGGAAGGAGTATTATTATATACATAAATACAGACGCAGTATCCCAAAGATTATTTGATAGGTCGGAGATTCGGCGTTATCCACTTTACCCCTTCCATATGTCTGTCATCCGACCATTTGAACCGTCAATGAAGGATAAATGTTCAAAAAACAAAAATCAAGAATGTTTCATTGGTGACGCAATTAAACAACAATACTACTTCCTCCTTATTAAAGTCTCCAAATCAGATGCTACAAATAATGGGGTGTACACCTAATAACCCCATTATTTTTGTAATTCTTTAGAAACTCAATCTAAATATTATGAATCCATTTGAGTCCCCCGCTCTCTCTCGATTTGTTCCTAGCGCACCTAGACTTCACTCTCTTTTTTTTCTTTATTTCATTAGTAATTATAAAATCCATCCCAAAATTGATTCAATTTGAATTCTGAAAAACATTAAAGATAGTGATAACTTGATTGAAGCATCTTCATTACTCTATTTAACTGTAATGATCTAATAGCTTCTTTAGAATTATCTTCTAAATAGACAAAATAGTATTGCCCACCAACTATTCCTAAAATTTCCAAGGTGAATTTTTGTTCATTTCTTTAGCAAATTTTAAATAAACTTTGTTGTGCTTGAATATAGTATTGAACTATTGACTATGTATAATTTATTTTACATTATACCCTGTAGTTTTTTTGCATTAAATTAAATAGGTTTTTTTCATCATTTTGAAATGGAGCCAAAGACTCTCTATATTTTTGGCTTGAGAATTTGGTGAAATAAAACAAAATGGCTCACTAAACTGTTTGCGCTTCTTTGTTATGAAGCAGCAGCAGTCCATGCAATTTTGGACACGATTTTCACTATAGATCATCCGGAAACAATCTCTTTGTGCTTTAGTATAAGAGTAAGAGTGCGTACATCCGACCCCCCCTTATCCCACCTACGGTGGGATAAGAGCCTTTGCGGCACTGGGTAACGATAATGAATGATGAATGGATGGATTGAATTAAATAGCTTTTATGCTACTTGAATTAAAGAATTCGTGATTTCGTTTGTTATTTTCCAAGTTTTATCTTTAAACAATTTGCTTTTAGATTGTATTTTAGTTTTTATATATTGGATTGAACTATTAATGATTCTTATGTGATATTTTGAGCGATTAATGTCATACTTTTCTGTCATTACATATAAAATGAGCGCTGGTCGATTTTATAATGTGCATTATGTTAAAATTGGTTGAACTTTATTGTGATGAAAGATTTACTCTAAGTTATTTGTAATCAATATGTTACATGAGCATAAGTGCATAACTTTCATAGAAATGAGCATTGGTCTAACATTATAAAATGATGATGAATACATAAAATGAGTTTTATGCTATACCCAAATGAGTATAATATTTACACGAAATATAATCGATATAAAGTTTTAAGATAAGTACTATTACGAATGACAATTCGATGAAGATTTTTTATGTTCAAAAGGTTCTGATTTTATGCTCAATTGCATAGTTTCAATGTTCAATAGAGGAAAGTTGATACTCCATGAAAATGTCTTGATCCTCAATGAAATGTTCTGATGCATATTCAAAAATTTTAATATTAAATTAGATTCGTATATTTGAATCCATAGGAGTCTACTGATATAGTTTAAAAATTTATATTAAAGAAAAAATAATAAAAAGAAAGTAAATCAAAAGTTATGAATCAGAATTCACAATGCTCAATAATACTCAACAAAATAGGTCCGATGCTCATTAAAAGTTCACTAATAACCGTGATTTGTAAATCTTCCAATGACCAATATATAAAAGCAAAATAAATCTTGAAGAGTTTTACCGCCCAAAAACATCATTGAGGGGTCCACATCAAGAAGGTATAAATTAAAAAAACAAAAACAAACATATTTATGGAATGGGGCAAGACTCTTACAACTTACAAGACTCGGTGAGAACAATTCAGGTCAAGTTTTAACCGGAAGTCGGGAACAAGTGCTAGTAAAAAGTAGGGGTGGACTCGGGCCAGGAAAGTTGGGCCCGAGCCCGAACCACCGGTGGGCGGTTCCGGTCCCGGTTCCGGGCCAAACCGGGCCGGGCCGGGCCTAACCGGTTCTAATTTTTTTTTTTTTTTTGGCTCTTCTATTTAACCCCCAACCCCTCCCCCTCAACCCCAAACCACCCCAAACCACCTCAAATGGCCCAAAATACCTAATCCAACCCAAAACTTAAAAAAAATTCAAAAAAACAAAAAAAAAAAAAAACCGGCCCGAACCGGCCGGGCCGGTTCACCAAAAACTGGGCCCGAGCCCGGACCGCCCAGCAGCCGGGCCGGGCCAAACCAAACCGGTGGACCCACCGGGCCCCGGGCCGGGCCGGGCCAAACGGTAACCGGGCCGGGCCGGGCCGCCCGGCCCGAGTCCAGCCCTAGTAAAAAGTATTAATATCTAAACTTTCTTATGGCAGATAATTTTGGGCTTGGTGTTTTGGGGGTGGTTTGGAGGTGGGGGTTATTAGAAAAGCAAAAAAAATGAAGAAGCCCGTGGACCGGACCGACCCGAACCCAGTGGAAACCCGGGCCGGTTCCGGGCCCGAAGCCAAACTCAAAAAGCCCGCCCAGGACTGGCCCAGAGCCTTGCCCAGGACTGGTCCATGCCTACACTCATCCGAAGCCCACCCAAATATTAAATGTGTTGATTTATATTCAATGCGAAGGCTAAGCATATCTTTGCGGTATATGACTGTACAAAGAGGCCGATGATTCACATTATTTCAATCTATGACAAAATAACATCAATAACGCAATTTTGAATTTCAACATGTCCGCATTAATCAAACTTTGCAGAATTTTGAGGGAGGGAGAAGCAAGTACAACAGTGCTTTCAAAACAAAATGCAAACGCAGAATACATTTCCCACATAAATAAACTATGTTTCTCATAACCTTATTTTTCTGCCTTCACCTGTAGGCTGTAGCCTAAGATAAGTCACTCCGTATTACTTATAACCACACTACATAATTTCTTGAATGAAGGACACTTGCAGACACAAGTATAGGCGTAAAATATCAATCAATCAAGAAGGCAAGTTTCGTCCATGAGCATCAATTTTGTTCACGAACTAGAAAGGATTATAGTACGTACAAGATAGTTTGAATTAGCTTTTCTCTATAGACATGCCCCCCATCCCGAGCACTTCATAGAGTAAATTCCCTCTCACTAATGAAGGAAGAAACAGATTGTACAAATCTATAATTCGGTAAAAACACAATGATACTCGAGAGAAGAGCATACTCATTCATATCATCAGCAATATTTTCTGATCTCCTAAATCAAAAGGCTGAGATAAACCTTTGGACTCTTGATTGTGTCCTCTCCTTCTCTTCTGTACCATTGAAATCACCAATGTTGTCATGATATTCCTGTAGCAGCAGCACACCATATGATACACAGCTAAATAACATGAACACAAATGTACATTGTATTACTTCCTCCGGCCCGCAAAACTTTGGCAACTTTCCATACTTAGTCATCCTAAAAAACTTTGCGTTTTATGTTTATATGTAACAAGTATGTGGCTAAAGTTATTTCTAGCCCTTCCGCACAAATCTCAATCACACATTTTTTACTTTCTTATTTCACATGCAAATCAATTTAGGGCTTTAGGCTATGTTTTACGGGGGAGTATTGGAAGTGCCTACTTATTTCATTACTAACCAATTCTGCAATGCAAAAAACAAATTACAAATTAGTACTCTCTTTGTCCCATTTTATTGGTCTTACTTTCCTTTTTCAGTGGTCCCAAATAAATGTCATATTTCATTTTTTGGAAAGAAATATGTGATCCACAACATTTCACTTTATTATACTCAAATTTCAACCAACAAGCCACATAAAATGAGACGGAGGTAGTATTTGATAAAAAAAAATGACTAATCAAAAGAGAGGCCACCAAACAGCCACTAAGTAAGTTTTCTCAAATGAGTAAATGACCGATAGGGACGTTTGGCTATCGAGGACTTTATGCCGTCAATACCCAACATTGTGTATGAGGAAGGAGTAATTGGAGGAAAAATATTGAACTTAATTTTGTAAATACCTGCAGTATATCTTTCACATCTTGTTTAGTAAGCTTTTGCTGCTTCAACAGCAGTTCAATCCTTGCTCTAATCCGGAGGTGCCTATATATCATGCCAGGGAAGAGAATGAGAAGATTGGGGGGGACATACCTTCTTTGGTTGGAGGATTTCTTAGAGGATGTAAGGGGAGGGTCGATCCTTATTTTAATTTATACTTTCCTGTCTGGCACAAAATATAGTAAGACAAAAACCAATCTTTCCCTCCAAAATCCCCCAACCAAAGAGGGCCCTTCTAGATAAATAAATATGGAGCATCTAAGCTGCCGAGACATACTCAGAAGTCCATAGATGGCCAAGAATTACAGCAATCAACTGCAGTATTAAAGATAGAGGGACACTATATAAGAACAGAGAGTGATAAAACCACAGATAGAGCTACTATTCCAGGAAATGGAAGAAAGAGAGAACACCCAACATAATCTACCACCTGAAGGGTATAAAGTCCTGCTTCTAGCTTTCTGTTATACTTTTCATCTTCATCCATCTGAAAAAGATTAAGATCAATACACTTGCAGTATGTTGCTATGTCTATGTCTGGTTCATAGTTGTCGATGGTGAGGGATGGCGCGTGCGCCATGCGCCATATGGCAAGAAAGCCCTCCATCGCCATGAAAAGTCATCATGGCGGTGACCATACACATGGTGCCGCCAGCTTTGCGCCATCGCCATAACAATTGCGGCCATAATATTAAACAAATCTGAACCAGTCTACTTTGTGATTTTGGGGCTTTTAGCCCTGATAAATACTTAACTAATCTGCCAGGCTATAATATTAATAAAACCCTAATAAGAAATTACGGAGTAATATGTTAGCCCATTATATTGACAAAAGGTACGACATTCCTCTTT